AGGTAGCAGCTGATGAGCGCTCCTGAAATTTATGGATCCAATAAATCCTGCTTTTCTTACAATTTACAAATTTGCACCTGGGAAAATCTGCTTTAAACCACATATGATTCTCAGCGCACAGACAGCCACTACACACAACAAGACACACTGGACCGACTGCGGTGTCCGAGGGTCTACCTCACTCTCTCCCCCACCGCCAGCAACAGGCCACCGCCTAGCTGTCGGCCACCTGAGGTGGGATGGGCGCAGCGCTGAAAAGGAAAATAGATCGACGAACACCCATCCAACGACATACATTGTTTCGTATATCCCTTCCACCATACAAGTTAAAAACACACATATTATCGGTGAACCTAAAACTACTTTTTCTAATCTCGCGCATGATCGCCGCAACCAGCGCCCTACGATCCTACTTCTTCTATTTCATTCAGTCACGAATGAGTTTCTGTCACACATCAGGTCATCTACGAATACAATTAAGTCTGATGAAATGGATCCGAATAAGCAAAGATAGACCGGTTCCATTTCATCATATCATCCTAGTCACTATATGACGGTCTGGCGGGTTTACGTTGTGAGCTCCTGGGCAAGGCGGAACTTAATTGTTTCTCTACTAGATCGGCGAAACGCATTCACAATTAAGTCTCCCTGAAGAGTGTGCTAGTTCGGATATCAGCTCCTATAGTTCTACATGGGACTAGTGTTTCCATATAGAAACAAAATCCTATAATAAACATAAGACGTCTAGATGTAAACTTTGGGATCGTAAAGGAAAGCGACCATATGCAAAATGAACTTAATTATAAGGAAGCTCTTAGTGATCGCAAGTAGGGTCGGGGAACTCTAAAACACGTCCAGAAAGAATACATTAGGTAGGTCACAGCTCCCTTTTTACTACGGTCAGCAGTTAAGCATACCAACGGATCGAGCAACAAACTCTCAACGGGCGATGAGAACAGGTAAGTATTTTTGAAGACACAGCAGCAGTGTCTTATTGATCCCTCAAAAACAATCCGGATAGCATACCCATTCACATTTTTGGAGGGTTGTTTCTTAAAGATAACCCCGGAAGACGCTGAGTCCAATTGTAATTGTTGAATTGGCATTGGTCCACTTGTGGATTTATATGAAGAATTCCGATGAGCAGAGAGCGACTTGAAGATAACAAGTAAAGTGTTGTCGTACGAATTCAACGGTATTGTTAATCGTGAAAATTAAGTACTATCGTAGTCATCTAAAATAACAGGAAATCAACTGTGACAATAAATTGTTCAAGGGTGACACGCAGGTCAATTCACCGAAATAGCAATGCTGATGAGCAACAAAATTATGAGTAACAAAATGTAGGTTTCAAGACAAATAATCATATGACAAACCGACAGAACGTTTTAGGGATTTGGTGTACTAATAGCCATGAGGTATTGCCCCCTAAACGGGCCGCATGGTAAATGAGCTGAACCAACACGAGGGGCATATCAGAGCGCGGCAGGTGTTATTTGGGTCGCGCCAGCCAGTGCGCCCAATCCCGCCTCCGGTCTTCTTGATTCTGTCATGAAATCAGGCTCGGGCGGATTTGAGAAGTGATAGTGCGCTAGATACAACGCTATTCTACTATCACTTAAAACTAATTTACGCGTAAGTCATCGTACTTGCGCCACCACACAAAGAACATCTTCGAAATCAATGGCTTGTCGGTACTGCAATAACACTTGTCACAGGGTAAATGCAATGTGAAAATAACCCTAATTAATGTGACCAAGAACAAAGCTAGAAGGGAAGCGCCGCTCTACGAAATATTAGTAAGGATGGCGGCAAAAACAGATCTGCGCATGGAGACCGTACATAAGGGCGTTTCAAGTCAACGTTGTCGAAGGTTCCAACTACAGTAGCTGGCAGGTACTGTCACAGTAGATTCAAGCATCAACCCTTTCGGCTTAAATCACTCCCGGACAAAACAAATTTCTTCCTCCTGCTGAAGTTGGTTTGGGACAGATCCACTGTTTTGGGAAAACCCAGCCTCGCAACATTCGTGCGACTGCTTTGTGGAGCAGATCGGCATAAGCAACAAAACGCTCGAAAAATAATTACGCACGTGCAAATCAACCAACGGTAACACGAACACTCATGCTGGGTATGCAGACACAGATATCCCAGAGTAAACAGATGATCAAGAAAAAACCACTGGCAAGTTCATTTTTCTTTCCATCCTCTTTACCCCAATATTGACTTGCACTGTCTGAGATAGACGCTTTGGATGAATGTTTTTTAAGAAGACATCGGCTTCATACAATATATTTACCATAAAGCTTGTAGATTCAGTTTAAGAGATAAGTAGTTGTAAGGAGATGTTCAACAAGCAAGAACCCTAAC